ATTGTTATTCGAAAAATGCCAAAACTTGAGGGGTAATTCAAACCTCTCTCTCGGTATAGCGCTTCGAATAATCTCGAACCTATACAACTGACTGCTGCTTCAGTAGTAGTTCAGCTGCGGCATTTGTATTAACCCCATCTCGATAATAATCCCAAAGAACTTGAGCATTTCTTCATGAGTGGTTGGTTTCCATTGACGATATCTGGACCGTCTGCTAATCTCATGGGCTTCCAAGTATTGTTCTGCATATCGATTAGTTTCGCGAACCATAAGATTGATAATATCGTCTGTGATGAAATATCGATAACAATCGATAGGATTGACCATATGATCCTCTGGAGCAGAAATTACTTCTTCGACGAGTCTATGATCTTACATAAATTCTTCATCCGATTCCGATTCTATTTCTTTCCAGACGTTTGAACTCATTTCGTCGTCAGAAATTTCTTCGTCGGAGCTTCCAGATTCAACGTGCATTCTATCCAGATCATCATCCAAAAAACTCAGTTCACTAAGTGAGCTAGCGCTCTCTTCTGTATCGGTTTCTTCCAACGACATGTAAATAATTCGGAAAGTTCGGCTGCTTTTATAGGTAAAATCACAGATACAAGAATAAGTAGGAAAAAAACAGAAATTTCGCTCTGACTCATGGTACATCATGATATGAAGAAGAGAACGGTGAATCATCCGTAGACGATAGTGAAAAGGTCATTACGTGCATTTATTAGAAGTTTACTACTGACAGGAATGGATATTTCGAAGACTTTCCCCAAGAAAAATGAATCGTGGTGAATGTGTTAAAGATAGAATGAAACAGAAAATTATCATTTTCAAGTAGAAAATAAATTTGGATTGTTCTTAAGTGCTTTTTGAATTGACCGAATGAATAATACATTTTGAACAGTGTCAGGATTTAATGATGATCTTCGTTCATTAATAAGAAGATCACCAGCACTAAATTGTTGTTCAACACATGCGGATGTTGCAGGAATCGAATATAATAGTCTAGCTAATTTAGCTAAATAAGGAAGTTTATGTTGATGATGCTGCCAGAAAAATAATGGATTTGGTATTTTATATTGATCATCGATTGACATTCTTAAATACTTGTTTAATTCAGCAAATGTTTGAGCTGTTACTGTTGTGGTCGATGCTAAAGGTTGATTATTATCATCCGGATCGACGAATCGATCTTCAATAGTTCGATGGCTTTTCTTTTACTGGTTTAGAAATCGTTGACACGGAATTATTTACATGTTGTTGCATTCCATAACCATACAAATCGATTAATAATTGACGACCACAAATCTGAGTTTTACTTTTTTGGTCATCGTTCACAAAAGTTAATTTTCTGTGAAGCGGGTGAAGTAAAGCACCTGCTAAATATTTTTTGTCCAATTGAAACATAAGCATCAACAACTGCTTTAAGCGTTTACGAAAAAAATCAGTACCTAATAAAAGATTAGTAACATGTGGTTAAATAAATTTTAAGAAATTCTCAGTACCTTCATTCCTATCGTCGATACTTAGTTGTTCTCCATTAGAATCAATATCTTCATCGGAGAAATGTAATTTTAGTTTGTTTAATCCGACATACACCATGTACAAACTTGGACGATCATCATGTTGAATCAATGTAATTACATCTTCAAATGTCTTCAATAATATTGCTAAGTCTCTTAATCCTTTAACATTTATTCTATTAATATTCAGCTTTTGTTTTTCAGCATTGCTTTTTGTTGATAATATTGATCAAACGTGCTCAAGCGATGCTTCAATCGATTGTAACAATAATGACAATGAAATCCATCTGATAATGCTCGATTGTTGTAAAGCGATGACATGACTTTGTTTTATTTCATAGTTGATGTTGGTCTAAAAAAATGATTTATAACTTAATATTTGATGAAAGAAATATTGCTAACTAATTTAACGTATTTCATGATTGATTTGAACGCAAAAATCATTTCAAGTAATTCTTTTGGCTTAACTGGTAATGATGAAAACGCCGTTGTTGCTTCTGGTTGTTAAATGATGACGGTTTTTTGTAAACTTCATCATCATTAGAACTATTTCCTTCATCAGATGAACCATGTGCTTTAATACGACGTGTTTTTGATGTAGCTGCTGTTGTTGAAGCTTGCAGTTCTTTATCTTTTGCTGGTTTTATCTGATAAAATGCTTTTCCAAGAACATTGTTGAGCCGGTGGCCGAACCAAAACAAAACACATTGACCTTCAAGAGTCTTTCTGATATTGGGACTCCTATCAGAAATAAACAATAAGTTTTTATTGTCGAGATAGAATTCAAGATCAAACAACTTCAATTGTTTACGAATAGACTAAACACATAAAAAATCAACAATTTATTAGAAACGTATTTGGAAAGGATTGACTTACAAAATATACACTTGCTCCAGTTTTATCATATTCATCATATGCAGAATAACATAAATCAATAGTTTCAAATTTGAATTGATCATTAACAAATGTGTACGTTAAACCAATATATGCAATTTTACGATGCTTATCAGTCCAAAGATCAGGTGCAATACAAAGATAGCCATCATCTGCTTGTTTTTTCAAAACTGGCTTCAACAAATTTAGATATTGTTCAGTCAGTGTCGCCACATTGTTTCCAACTGTTTTAGCTGACACAATAAGTTCTTCAACATTTATTTGACCACTATATTTTTGACCTATAAAAATTTTTCTTATCATTTATTTAAAACAATGTTTTATTACTGACCTATTCGAATTGCTTCGTTAAAAATATCAATGAATCCATCATCTTCAATGATATTAAAAGGACGAATTGATGAGCAACATCAGACAACAAACTTTTCCTTCATTTTTTCTTTATCTTACTTTT